TCTTCTTCTTCTTCTTCTTCTTCTTCTTCTTCTTCTTCTTCTTCTTCCTCTTCCTCTTCCTCTTCCTCTTCTTCCTCTACTTCTTTGCTTGTTCTGAGTCTATTGACTTTCAATGGGTTTAGATATTGTGTGCTTTTATGATGAAATGTTAATGAAAACATTCTAATGCACATACTTTCCCTGAATTTCACACTTGTATCTTAGTATCACTGCTGGGAATTATGAATGAATGAATTAATTATTGTGAACCAAATGTTTCTACTCCCTACACCTATTCTTTTCTTTATTAGAATCAGTTTACCACCAAGCTAGGAACTTCAGTTTTCTTAATTTTTATTATTCTTTTGATGTCCGTGTATAGTTCTGCCTAAGTCATATCAGTTTCACTTTTTAAAAAAAGATTTATTTATTTATTATGTATACGGTGTTCTGTCTGCATGTATACTTATATGCCAGAAGAGGGTACCGGATCTCATTATAGACGGTTGTGAGCCACCATGTGGTTGCTGGGAATTGAACTCAGGATCTCTAGAAGAGCAGCCAGTGCTCCTAAACTGTGAGCCATCTCTCTTGTTTTCATCCTCCATTTTTTTTCTTTTTTTAAAATTAATTTTTATTTATTTATTGCAATTTATTCACTTTGTGTCCCCTCTGCAGCCCCCTCTCTCATCTCTTCCCAGTCCCACCCACCCTCCTTCTTCTCCCCCTATGCCCTTTCCCTAGACCCCTGATAGGGGAGGATCTCCTCCCCTTCTATCTGACCCTAGCTTATCATATCTCATCAAGGCTGACTGCATCATCTTCCTCTGTGGCCTGGCAAGGCTGCACACCTAAGGGGGAGATGATCAAAGAGCCAGCCACAAAGTTCATGTCAGATACAGCCCCTGATCCGCTTGCTAGGGAATCTACGTGGAAACTGAGAAGCCTATGGACTTTCTTTGAACAGGGTGTCTAGGTTCTCTCTATGCATGGTCCTTGGTTGGAGTATTGGTCTCTGCAGGACCCTCTGGGCTCAGGTATTTTGGCTCTGTTTTTCTCTTTGTGGAGTTCCTGTCTTCTCCAGGTCTTTTGGACTTGCTTTGTAGACTGGGTTGGCCTTGAACTCACAGAGATCCACCTGCATTTGCCTTTCAGAGTGTTGGGATTTGCCTATTTCCTTTTAAATTTTTCTAATGACTTTGTTTATATATTTCTTAAAAGATTTCTTTTCAACTATTTGCATCGATATGTGCCTGTATGGGGTATGTGCATGTGAATGAAGATGCCTGTGGAGGCTGGAAGAATGCATCAGACCCTTTGGAGCTGGGTTACAGGCCATGGGTTCTGGGCACTGTACATGAGCCGTTAGCCACTGTGACATTTCTCTAGCTCCTTGTTCTAAATTTTGAAATGAAGTTTTTTTGCTTCAGACTTTGACCTTATTTCAGCATCTTTTTGTACCACCATCAAAGTCCATTCTTGACAATCCATGTTTGATTGCAGCTTCTTTCTAAAATCCCATTAATATAGTTTTCCCCATGGCCTCTGTAATATAGTTCAAATTTCCTTTGTGGCTTATTTATTCCTTTGTGATCTACTACTTTTATCCTCATAGTTCTCCCACTTTTCCTCCAGTTCTCTAATTATACGGTTCTGTTAACAAACACTGAATGAAAAGCCAAGTTATGCTACTTGGTATAGTTTTCAAGGAGTGTGTTTGTGTGTATGTATACTGTATACATGTGTATACATGTATGCATGTTTATATGAGTTGTTATAGGTGTGGATGTATATGTTTGTGAGGATACATGGGCATTTGGAGGCCAGAGTCCAACTTCAGATGTCATTTCTTGGAGACCAACTGCCATTCCGGAGACAGGGCCCTTCACAGTGGCCTTACAGTTTCTGAACAGGCTGACTTGGGCTGACCAAGGCCCCTTAGGACTGTCCAGTCTTCATGGTCCTTATGCTGGGATTATAAGCATAGGCTGCTATGCCTTTTTGTTGTTGTTTGTTATTAATGTGTTCTGGGGATGAAACTCAATTCCTTGTTATTTCAAAGTAAGAAGTTTCTTGACTTAGCTGTCTCCCTAGACCGTCTGACTAGTTTTAAGTATCAGTGAATAGATTAGGATCTTGTAAAGTTGATACGTGATACACCTTGAACGTATGGGTGATAGGTAAATGAATGGAGACTATATATATTGGGTGATACCTATTTTAGAGATTCAAACTTTGGTTGCAAACATGGTTGTAATCAGTACCACCTGCTATATAGTGCAAGCTGAATATCCTTTGTTCAAAATGCTTGGGACCAGAACCATGTCAAATGTGTTTCAGAACGTATTCAATATTGGAATATTTCCATAGACTTTATCTGTGTTGGCTTCTTATGTGGTTGCCCCAGTTCCATTTCTGTTGCTGCGACAAAAGGCAACAGATGGGAGGAAAGGGTTTATTTGGCTGACAGTTCTGGGTTACAGTCTGTTATTATAGGGGAAGTCAAAGCAGGAGATTAAAGTATCACTTCCACCATTAATTATACAGAGAGAACAAACACATATATCCTTGCTTGCTCCCAGTTTGTACTTTTCTGTTATATTGTGCTGGACCCTCTGCTTAGGGAATTATATCACCCATAATGACCATGGTTTTTCTATACCAATTAACAATGGAAACAGTTTCCCAAGGACGTACCCATAAGCCAACCTGATCTAGGTATTTCTCTAACAGTTACTAGGTTCTGTTAAGTCAACAACTAAAGCCAGCACAGTGGTTAAAAAATAAATACTTTTCTTGTTTACTTATTCCCACCTTTTCTTTTTCTTTTTCTTTCTTTCTTTCTTTCTTTCTTTCTTTTTTTTTTTTTTTTGAAGTCTGTCTTTAGTAATGGATAACTCTGGCAATATGATGGTATTTTTAGATTGAATACTGGCAACAGTTGTGACTATTATAATGACTATTCACCTTCAGATCTATTGTAAAAGGTTATAGGAAATAATAAGGAAAACAGATGTTTAAAATTTATATCAGGAGTTTTTCTAATATAGATGATATCATCTTTGATTTCTGGGGTCATTTAAGACAGCTGTTGTGAAATGTAGTATTAAAATAAATGATCTTGTTTGCTTCTCTTTTAAGGAAACAAGCAAAAAAAATTCTACTACTCAGGACAAGAATTGCAATATATTTATTTCATTCACTCACTGTGCCTTTTAGGAAGATTGTTGATCTATAAACAAGGCAGAAAATTATTCCCCATAAAGCTGAAGAATAGAAAAGGTAAGTATAATTAGAACAAATGACTAGGAAAAGGTCTGATAAGATTTATAGCACACACGTTCATATTTATAAATCTGGCTTGGTATCTGTCTTGGTCACTGTGAAGAGACACCATGACCATTGCAACTCTTATACAAGAAAGCATTTAACTGGGGCTGGCTTACAGTTTCAAAGGTTTAGTCCATTATCATTATGGCTGGGGGCATGTTGGCATGCAGACAGACATGGTGCTGTAGAGGTAGCTGAGAGGTCTACATCCAAATACACAAGCAGCAGGAAGGGAGAGACAATGGGCCTGGATTGGGCCTTTGAAACTTCAAAAGCTCATTTCCATTAATACACTTCGTTCAGTAAGGCTAGACCTTTTTTTTCTCCTTTTATTATTATTATTAATTACACTTTATTCATTTGTATCCCCCCATAAGCCCCTCCCTCCTCCCCTCCCGATCCCCTCTACCTCCCCTTTCTTCATGCATGCCCCTCCCCACATCCACTGATAGGGGAGGTTCTCCTCTCCTTCCTTCTGATCTTAGTCTATCAGATCACATCAGGAATGGCTGGATTGTCTTCTGTGGCCTGGTAAGGCTGCTCCCCCATCAGGGGGAGGTGATCAAAGAGCAGGCCAATCAGTTTATGTCAGAGGCAGTCCCTCTTCCCATCACTATGTAAGCCACTTGGACACTAAACTGCCATGGGCTACATCTGTGCAGGGGTTCTAGGTTATCTCCATGAATAGTCCTTGGTTGGAGTATGAGTCTTTGGGAAGTTCCCTGTGTTCAAATTTTCTTGTTCTGTTGCTCTCCTTGTGGAGTTCCTATCCTCCTCTCCAGCTCTTGCTATTTCCCACTTCTTACATAAAATTCCATTCACTCTGCCCGCCAGTTGGCCATCAGGCTCAGGCATCTGTTTTGATAGTCTGCAGGGCAGAGGCTTTCAGATGCCCTCTGTGGCAGGTTCCTAGGTTGTTTCCTGTTTTCTTCTTCTTCTGATGTCCATCCTCTTTGCCTTTCAGAATGGGGATTGAGCGTTTTAGTTAGGGTCCTCTCTTTTGCTTAGTTTGTTTAGATGTACTGATTTTAGTGGGTGAGTTGTCCCAGAAGCAAAAAGACACACACGGTATATACTCACTCATATAAACATACAACATAGGATAAACCCACTAAAGGCTAGACCTTTTAATTGTTTTCAAGTAGTGCCATTCGCTGGTGACTAAGCATTCAAGTCTATGAGTCTATGGGGGCCATGCTTGTTTAAACTACCACAGTATCAGGTTTGGCACTATAGTAGCTTGATCTTCATTGCTGCAATCAAATACTGTGACCAAAAGCAACTTAATGCAGAGAGGCTTTCTTTCATCCTACAGCTTATAGTCTACAATGAAGGGAAGTCAGGGAAGGAATTCACTATGGAAACCTGGAGAATTCAATACAGAAGTCTGAATCAGTGGCCATGGACGAGAGCCACTTACTGCCTCTGCATCCATTACTTGCTTAGCCTCCTTTCTTATACACCCCAGGACCACTTGCCCAGGAGTGGCACTACCCACACTGGGCTGAACCCTCTCCCATCAACCATCAAGCAAGAAAACGCCTCACAGGCTTGCCTACAGGCAATCTGATAGGGGCTTCCTCTTCCCAGATGACTCTAGCTTGTGTCAAGTTGACAAAAGGAACTAACTGGCATAGGTACCTAGCTACATGCCTTTTAGTCATAAGATATTTTGAGGTTTTATCTTTATTTTTATTTTTTAGGTTCGGCATATGCTTATTGCTGTATATGAATTTCATTCTTTTTTTGGGGGGTCTTTCATGACTAAACTATACATTTGACCATCTGAATATAATTGTCATGCCCCTAAACTCTTCTGTCACTTGAAGAAATGCACAGGCCACCACATTCCTAGTTCCTATCTCTAGTCAGTTTTCCTTTAATCTGAACCTCCATCCCTTCCTGCCCCACTGCAGCAGCCTAAGGCTCCTGACAGTTTATCACCAATAAATATTCTAAGACAGTTCTTAAATTTTATGATGACTTTTATAATGAATTTCATTCTTATTTCTCTCTTATCAAAACCGTAGACTAGACATACCTGGTGATTCAGTTCTAGATATAAAACTAGAAGACCTTTTAAAACTTGGGGGTAGCCTACACATTTTCTCTGACCTTTTGTTTCTGTATTTCAGTTTGTGAAATGAAATGATTATATCAATAATAATGAAATTTTGTGATCCTAGGATGTACTTGCTAGTTTCTGTCTCTCTTTTTTCTGTCCTTTTGTCTTCTTTCTTCCTCTGTCCTTCCTTCTTTTTTTCCTTCCTTTCTTTGTTTCTTGATAATATCAGGCTGCAGGGCATTTTTTTAATTAGTGATGGATGTGGAGGGGCCAGCTCATTCTGGGTGGTGCCATTCCTGGGCTAGTGGTCCTGGGTTCTATAAGAAAGAAGGCTGAGCAAGCCATGAGGAGCAAGTCAATAAGCAACAATCCTTCATGGCTTCTGACTCAGCTCCTGCCTCCAGGTTCCTGCCTTGAGTGTCTGCCATGGCTTTCCTCAGTGATGGACTTAGAAGCTGTAACATGAAGTAAACCCTTTCCTCCCCAAGTTGCTTTTGGTCATGCTGTTTTATCACAGCAACAGAAACCTGAACCAAGACCCAAATTAGTACTAAGTCTTGGGGTGTTTCTGTGACAGGACTGACCATATAGTTTTGAAGAGGATTGTGGAAGGACTTTGGAACTTTGGGCCTGCAATGCCGTGGAGTTCATTAAGCTCTGTGGGCTGTTCTGTGGGTGCCTAGATGATAAGGATCTTGAGAGCAATGCAGACAGTGGAGGCCTGGCTTGGTAAGGTGAGGAAGGTTTTATTTTACAGAAGCCCGCAGTGGAGAGACTTTTCGAATTGCAGAGAGGATTAGGAACTTGACAGAGATTTAGGACATTTTAGGGGGACTCCAGATATTTTAGAGAGACTGGTTACTTTAGGGATTTTGCAGATTTAAAAAGAGTAAACTAAAAGTTTTTGAATTTTTAAAGACAGTGAGACTTAAATTTATATTAAGTTCTATACTGTGATATTAATATACAACTTGGGCATTTCTGTCTTAGTTTGGGTTTCTGTTGCTGTGATGAAACAGCATGACCACAAGCAACTTGAGAAGCTTACCTTAAAGCTTATAAGTCCATCACTGAGGAAAGCCATGGCAGGAACTCAGGGCAGGAATCTGGAGGCAGGAGCTGATGCAGAGGCCAGGGAGGGGTGCTGCTTCCTGAGTTGCTTCTTGTAGCTCGCTAAGCCTTTTTTCTTATACAAGCCGGGACCATCAGGCCCAGGAGTGGCACCATCCAGATCCAGCGTGAGCTGGTCCCACCCACATCTATCACTAATTAAGAAAATGCTCTGCAGGTTTGCCTAAAGCCTGATTGATGGAAGTATTTTTCTCAGTTGAGGTTCCTCCTCTCAGATGACTCTAGCTTGTGTCCAGTTGACGAAAAACAGTCACCACAGGATTATGTTTGGAGGAGTATCATATCATGTATTCCCATATTGTTTTTACCCTGCGTCATTTGATTTAGTAAACTGAGATCAGTTATCATCTTTAATTTTCCCAAGATACTATATCTGTACTGATAATACAGGTTAGAGTAGAATTGAGCAAACCTTCTGAAAAGTAACAGTAAATATTATGGCCGTGGCGGATAGTATGCCATGTTTATGGTTGTGCAAGAAAGTCAACATACTATGCCTAAGGCTGCTTTCTTTAGAATGGCCTGTTTGCAGGCTTGGCTCTTGGCTAGCATATGAGAGTTGGAGTCATATTAGTCCCAGCATTGATGAGGGCACTTTCATTGTTTATATTCTGTTCCCCATGCCTAAACTGTTTGTGCAAGCATTTCTATTTATGCTAAGCACCAGGTTTGCTTTTGGGAGTGTAAAATTTTGATAGGTTCTGGGCAGAGGTTATCTATGTGCTCACTCTTGTAAGGACCTTGGGCACTATATCTCTAGTGAGATATTCTGCAGGAATTGAATGTGTTCTGTATGACTCCTCCAGGAGAGCCCCTCGCAAGCTTGGGCCAGGCTTGCTCAGGATCTCTTCTTCTGTACCCTTTGTTTTTTGATTTTGCTTTGCATGGTTTTATTATAATGTGTCATGTCAACATGATGATGTGGTGCCTGCAGGTTTTCCAACTCAATCAAATCTGAACATGGTTTTCACAACCCCTCACACTTCTTAAAGGTGGAAAATCCATTCTTAGCTTGTCAGCGTTACAAAATCTGATCACAAGAACTGTAGTTTACTGATACTGTTACAAAGTGTATTCATTGTGAACCCTCCTGTCTAGTTGTTTTATTTGCCTTAATCTATTTGAGGTCTTGGAGAACTGACAAGACATTATGTATTTCTCTTACAATGTTCAAAGCTGTGTCATATAGTTTAAGACAGTGGGAAGACATCATGAGCTCTTCAATTAAGGAGATACTATTTCATATAGTCTTACTGGCTTTTATAGAACTAGAAAGACTAGTGAATATATTATACAATTTAACTTTAAATGCCTCTCATCTATAAAAATTAGCATTTTATGTTCTTTTTAACGACTGTATTTCACGCTAACGAATCACAACTCCTTTCAAAACTGAGTTTGAGAATAACAGAAACCAGCAGTCACCTTTGAATTACATAGTTTTCCTGAATGTTTTAATGAAAGATTCTATAGCAAGTCTTGGTAAACTCTAGCCTGTGGGCCTAACTTCCTGACTTGGTCCTCTATCTGTTCTGTACCCTTGTGTGTTAAGCGTGCTTTTTTTTTTTTTTTTCTTTTTTTAACTATTTAAGAATCTGTTTTGTGGCATGTAGAAAACATGAAGGCTAAATACTCATGGTTTGATTGGTAAATAATTATACTTACCATTTATTTATTGGTTATGTACGGCAAACTAGTGCTACAGTAGCCAGCTTGCATGTTTGTGATAGAAATGGTTTGTGTGCAAACTTATTACTCAGTCTTTGATGGAAAAAAAAATGCTGGCCATGTTTTACTATACTAAAAAAGCCAGCTGGACCAACATATTAAGCTGAATTTTACTTATCATAATTGAATTAACTTAAATAGCCATAGTGAGACCTGTGCATCTGCTGTGGATTTAAATGATCAGCTCCAAACAGATGCTGATCATTTGCCTTAGCACAGTGGAGTAGGCACTGGCTTCCTATCACATTCTATTCTGGAGTAATGTCTGCTGGTTCACAGTTCTCTTCTGACTGGGTTTACATAGAAACTGTGATGTAACCTTACAGGTAAGAGGAATGAGTTACATGTGTCTTAGGTCACAAACATGTTACAAATTACTTCTTTCTTTCTTTTGTAAAGATTCAATGTCCCTCACAAATCTGCTGGTTTTGTTCACTCAACTTATCTATTATTCACCAAGTTGTCCAGAGATGACATCAGTTGCATATTCAGGTAAATGTTTCCTCCTTAAATTGATTGGTTTATCGATTTATTGTGGTGGACATTCAACCCAGGATACATGTATTTTAAATGGAAAAAAAGAAATAGTCAAACATTTAAGTATTCTCTCATGTAGATGTTTGAGTTACTTAACTGTTTTGGTAAATGGGTTTATTAAGAATGTATTACTTGTAAGACATTACATTGGTTCTGAAGTAAGCCATGAAATTTAACTTTGTTCATAGATGATTTAAGATATTTCTAATCAATTAATATGTTAATTTAGAATCAGCTTGCCTGAGAATTTTAATTTTTCTTAATATCAAGATGTTATCAAGTGATGGCAAGAGAAATTTGATTAATTTATGTGTTCTCTCTTTGTTATTTTCCGTCCTTTGTACTTTCTAAGGTGTTTTGAAAAGATTGCTTGTTTTGGTTTGTACTAGTTACTATTGCTGGGACAAAACACCATGACCAAAGCAACTTGGGGAGGAAAGGGTTTATTTGGCTTACATTCCCATATCACTGCATATTATTGAAGGAAGTCAGGACAGGAACTCACACAGGCAGAAACCTGGAGACAGGACCTGATGCAGAGGCCATGGCTGGCCCATTATAGCTGGCTCATCATGGCTTGCTTAGTTGGCTTTCTTGTATAACCCAGGACCACTTGCTCAGGAATGGCCATTTCCACAGTGGGCTGGGTCCTCCCACATCAGTCACTAAGGAAATGTTCGGCAGGCCTTCCTGCAGCTGATCTTATTGAGGCCTTTTGCCAATTGAGGCGCCCTCCCCTCGAGTAACTCTAGCTTGTGTCAAGTTGACATAAGAGCTTTCAGTACAGCTGATCTCTTGTCAACTTGACATGCAAACACATCACTATTAAGCTACAACCTTTCCTTTCTCATTCATCCTCAAGATCTCACATTAATAGGGACATCACAATATAAAATACTCCAAATTTTACAAGTCCCACACTCTTTAAAAAAAACAAACATCTAAAAATTTAGTTTCTTTAAAATAGCCAGTATCTTGTAAGATCCAAAATCTTTTAAGATTCAATGTCTCTCAACTGTGCCTCCTGTCAAATAAAAAATAAATACTTCCTTTAAGAGGGACATACTAGGGCACTGTCACATTGTTCAAATCCAAAACTTTAGTTGTTTTCAGGATCTTTTGTTAAGTGTAAAGAAAAAGAGATTTGTTTTGTGTTTTGTTGTAAATTGCCATTTGCTCCTAGGCATGTTGACCAGCTTTTGAAAATGTTGTGTATTATTACTGTTTAAAGTAATTTCTACTTTTCTTTTGTATATCAATAAAAATCTTCAAAGTAAAACATAATATCAGAAGTAATAACATAGACCATAGTCTTCTAAAATTCAGAAACAGCATGGAAATGTTAGCACAAATTCTGAGAGGAAGTGGAGTAAAAAAAAAGGTGGATTGGGCTGCATGTCAGTTACAGAATATAAGAACGTTTGTTCCCTGTGGTTATAATAGTGTATTGCTCTTCGCTGTGGTTCTAAGACCTCTTCTGCCTTTACAGCATTTATACAAATGGGGTTCTGGCTTAAGCCCTTTGCCCCATGCTTCTACAGCATCGTTTTTAATGGAAACCGTCATCCTTGTTAAAGACACTCACTGTTTTGGCTTATTGTGTAGTCAGCTGTCCCTGTCTTTCTTCTCCGACTGCAATGCTTGGTTCAGAGAGCGAGAGCATCCCCTTACATCATGTGAATAGCTCGGTGCTCACTGACAGTGTCTGTCACTGAGAATAAGGTTTCTCATCTGGTACCGGTGAAAAATCACAAAACCTTGTTTATTTTGGTCAGGTATGAACTCGAAGGTAGCAGGCTTATGGGCTGAAGACTACTGTAACATTAATTAAAAACCCCTTTAGTTTTATGCTGTGTTTTTCTGGAGTACTCATATTACATTTGTGTAAGAAAGTTAAGTAGATTAAATATCTAATATAAAAAAATAGTTATTTTAGCAGCTGTTCCAACCATATTATACTTTTGGCTTCCTATCTCATGTTTTAAAGGATGATCTTAGGAATGCCCCTTTTACCTGTCTTTTGTGGTAACACAGTGTACCACCTCTGAAAGTGTCCATTCTTTGGTGTCTCTCTTCTGCTTGTGGTTTTATCTAAATACTTCATTAAATTTCCTAATAAGCCCATAAACCCAAGCACATTTAAAAAAAATGACCAGACGTGAATGTAATAAACTAGTTTTCTTGGAGGCAAAAAGTTGAGTTGTCTTCCAGCTATCTTTAATGTCAGGGCCTGATTTGGTGTCTAACTGAAATATGTTTTATTGTCCTTTTTCTTTTCTTTCTTTCTTTCTTTCTTTTTTTTTTAATTAGCTTGAGGAGATAGCAAGCTAATTGAGATAAGTTTCAGTTGATAGTTCTCATCTTTTGGTTTAGTTGTATGATTTTAAACAACAGAATTCCCTCTGAACTTTATGGAACAGTGGATAGTGCCCGGGGAAAGCGGCACTGAGCAGTGCTTTGACTTCCTGTTTTGTTCTCTCTGTTTCTCAGAGAATTATTCTCCTGCAAGTATGGTGACTGATGTTCTTCGGATTCTCTGCGATCAGAAAGAATGTGCTGTTGAGTGCTTGTACAACAGCACTGTGACAGAGGCGCTTCTCCAGCCCATTCATAACTTGATGAAAGGAACTGTGGTGCGTGTCACTAAAGAAGAAAAAGACCCTCTTCAGTGGCTAGTGTAATAGGTCAACATTCAGTGGCTCTTCATTTCTGACATGGTTGAGATTTTTTTTTTTCTTACAGAAATTTCTTACCTGTATTTTTTGCTCTTATAGATCTTTATTTGTTAAATCAGTTTATGCAGTTATTTGATTTATTAGTTATGGCAGGTGGTAGGAATGGCAAATACACATACCAATCTTATTTTTTTTCTAATCAAATTCAGTTCTGTTGATGTAAAAAACATAGAAAAATAGTTATTCTATTAAGAAGCAATTTGTCTTATGGGTGTAATAAATCTTGTGAATGTCCTACATATTTTAATGGCAGTTTTATAGCTTTTGGAAATACGATTATATTTCTAAAGAGCCAACTCTGCAACTATAGAGAACTGGTCTGAGAAAGAAGGCGTTTATAGCCCCAGAACTGAACAGCCATGCTGTCTTCCCAGTTCACACGGGGCACTTCATTGTGCTAGAGAATGTCATGGAAGAATGAGCTGAGTCTGAGGGAGGGGACCTGCTCCACGTCAGACATCCAGCATGTGCTGAAGGTGGTGTCCTCACCAGGATTGCTGTGTGTCCAATATAGCCCTCCTCTTCTCTGACTTCAGCTTCTTGTCGGTGACCTTTGAGCACACAAGAAGCTCAAGTTATCTGCCTTGGAGCATCTTCACATGTTTTTTTTCTCTCTCCTGAGCCACATTTCATTGGGTTATAAAATATTTTGTGGATTGTTGCTTGCTGCATAAATGCCACTGTTTTTAGCTTTGCTTTTTACAAAGATTGCTATATGTATGTACTGTTTATATTATCTAAACAATGTTAGGATACACTCTATGTTTATTCAATTCCCTCCTCCTTGTAGTGAAATCTGCTACACATGAAAACATCCTGTCCTGTGCAGACTAAGGTGCTCTTCCTTTTCTCTGTATTTTTCTGCCATGTTCTTCTGCAGTTGTGTTGTATTTGAATTATTCTCTGAGGTTTTTTGGTATTGCATTTATTTATTTGGATGGCAGTCATATGCTGTGCCGCACATTTATACAGAGGTCACAACAACTTGTGTGAGTCTTCTCATTTTCTACCATGTGTGTCCCAGGGATGTAACTCAGATCATCAGGCTTGGTGGCAAGTGCCATCTTGGTGACTTTGAACTGTTCCCTTTTGACTGTTGGTGAGTCCCCTGATATACAGTTGAGATCTAGTACCTAATTTAAGATATCCAACGTAACCCATTGAGCCAGTGTTCTGCCAGTACTCAGTTATGGTTTTTCTAATATGGAAGGCAGTAGAAATATTTTAACTTTAAGGAAGTTACTCTAATTACCTTCTAAACAACAGATATTTAACACGAGCAACAGAAAGTACTAAAGCAAAACTCTGTGTATGAAAGAGCATGTGGGTGTATGTATAACTATACAGTAATGTATATGAGAGAAGATATACAGTCTAGATAGAGGTTTCAAGAAAGTAGTTTGTATGGAAAGAGCTTATCTAATAGAGGTGGCTATAGAGTCATGTGTACATGTGTGTGTATGGTCTACATCTCTATTTTCTGTGTGCATATGTACACACATACACACATATAAATACATAGGTACCTACATAAATACACATGAATATACATTTTTTTCTTGGCACAGAATCTTTGTATGTTGTCTAGGCTAACTCCAGATTCTTAATTCTCCTACCTCATTTAGCTTCTGAAGAGCTGGAATTACTACAGATATGTGTGTTCTTACTTTGTTCTTTATTATTGCTGTGACAAAATAATTCAGGAAAACAACTTAAATGAGAAAAGATTAGACACCTAATACTAATTTCAGGTATCTGGAGTCATGTAACACTACCACACGGGTGCTCTGTGTGGGGCATTGGGAGTATAGGAAAAAATAAGGCATGTTTATGCTAGCTCCCAGTACAAGGGGCGCTCCATCATCGTGTGGACATAGCTGGAAGCAGCTGTTGACATTGCTCCCACAGTAAAGAAAGAGGCTGAGACATGCTCCGCTGCTTTTCTCCATGCACACAGTCCAGGATGCAGACCAGGGAGTGGCCCCTCTCCCCACATTGGACACATCGTCACCACATCTGGTAGTCATAATCAAGACAGTCTCTACAGATGTCCAGAGGCCTGGTACTGCTCTACTTTCCAATTTCCAATTAGCAGTAGTCATCATCATCATTATCATCATCACCACCACCACTATTTTATCTCTGTTATACACACACACACAAACACACACACAAAGTAAATATATATGTGTGCGGGGTGTAGATACATGTGTGTGAAGGTTTGCATGCCTTTACCCATGTGTTCCTGGGGGTCACGGGAGCACATTTTGTACCCTTCACTTCTACTTTCTGCGTTATTCAGAGACAGGTTGTCTCTCTGAGCTTGGAGATAAACTGGCTAGCAGGAAGCCTTAGCATTTTCCTGTCTCTACTTCCTCACTAAGGTTAGAGACACATACAGCCACTCCTGGTTTCATATGTGGATCTTGGGTATTTGAACTAGGGTCTTTGCACTTCGTTAGTTCTTACTGTCTGAGCCATCCTTCTAGCCCCTGCTATATGTAATTTTAGGGGACTCTACCTGACTCATATTTGTTAATGGATTCATGAATGTTTAAATATTTTACTAGTTTTAAGATACGCATTTCAAAGTACAGAGGATGTGGACATTAGCATCTGCAAAGTCATAAAGCAATAAGTAGATCCTAAATACCAGAGTTTCTGTCAGGTGACTTCATCATTAACGTAATTTCCAGTTTTCAAGATTTGTTTTGTGCTCTTTTCTCACGTTGGCCAAGCTGTACTAACACTTCCCTTTAAAGTGGGCAGATAATGATTGGGCCAGCTTGTTTGCCGAGCGGGTGATGTTACTGGCTATTGTCCAACTCATGAACTGGCTGTCCCTTGTCAGTCTTTACTCAGTTAGGTGATAAAGGGATGGCATCAATCGGGCCAAACCCATAGTGTATTAGATACCACATACAACTTGATGAATTCGCAGGAATGTGTTATCCGAGAAGCACAAGGTAATGCAATCAGGGAAGGAGCTACAGCATTTGGTAACCAGAATTGCACATGAAACTGTAATACAGGCAGTCATCCTCAATAGCAGGCACAGGTGGGAGTCTTGGATTTATTCGCCTCATCAGCTCTGCTGCTAAAAGAATATAATGTAATGACACGTTTAACTCAGATATATTATTTCACAACCAGAAGTTGTGAATGTTTCTGTTGTGGTAGCAGTCATATAACTTTAATAGACTACACACCACCCTTGCTACATTGTAAAATTATATGATGTGTCTTGTCATGTCTTTTTTTTTTTTTTTTTTTGTAACGTGCAGGCTGCTCCAGAGTGCTCTGAAACAGCCCTAATTCACATAGCTGATATTTTGGCAAGAATCGCTTCTGTAGAGGAAGGACTGATTTTATTCCTTTATGGAGAAAATATGAACTCTTCGGAAGAAGGAAGGTACGTGTACATCTTAATCTGTGCAACTGTTCTGGTGTAGTTAGGTTTCTTGATCAGGTGCTAGTGACTCATAAAACGTCTTTGACACAGTCTTCTAAAATACTCATTTCTTGCTTTTATTAAAATACTCATTTATTTCATTTGTTCGTGTGTCCATGCCTACCTGGGTTGGTGTGCATCACGTGCATGCAGGCACCCCTGGAGGGCTGAAGACAGTGTTGGATGCCCTGGAAGGGGAGTTGCAGGCAGTGGTAAGCTGCATGTAAGTGCTGCGAACCAAACCTGGATTCTCCGCAAGAGCAGTAAGTGCTCTTAACGCCTGAGCCACCTCTTCCGCCCTTTTACTATATAACCTTACCTCGCAATAATGATGCAGGCAACTTTCCAGGTGGGATCCAACATCTTCCTACCTGCTCTCCAAGACCCTCTTAACAGATTTCTGAGCAACAGGTAGTTGCTTTAAGTTAAACAGGTTCATAGGGGGGAAGCCACACCCTGTTTCCTCCTCTGCTGCCGGGCAGTCCTAGCTCCTTTGCCAGTGGCAACATTCCAGTACTTAGAGTTCTTGGGCAAACCTATAAACCTGTTTATTCTGGTTTATAAAAATGGTATCACATATGTTACCCTGAAATCTCACTTCTTAAGCACAACATGGACATTTTCTTGGGTGAATACAGAATGAAACAGCTTTTTATTGTAGCATTCTTATACTGTTATTTCAGTTTGCTGTAATTTATTCAGATTCCACCCCCACCATACCCCCATTAATTGATAGCAAGTTGTGCCTCAGATCTTTCCTCCATAAATAACACTGTAACGTGCTCAGTCTTTGTTCTCTTTAGCCTGCTGATATGATGAATTACATTAATTGGTTTTTAAGTGCCAAGCAGCCTTCCTCAGGGAGTACATTATACCGGATTGTGGTGAATATTCTTCTTCCCCATTGTGGCTCTGAGTTCCTAGTGGTTACTGGGGACCATTGCCATGTTGGCAAATGGCATCAGTCTCTGAACCTGTAATATCTTTGTTCTTTGATATAACTGTAGCACTGGTTTCATAAATTAGAAATGATTGCTCCTGCTTCTATCTTGTGGAAGGAATTGTAGAGAACTATTATAATGTTTAAAAATATGTGGTAGAATTCAGTGTGCACCTGGCATTATCTAATTCTTTTAAATTTGATAGATAGAGCTATTCTGAGTTATTTCCATTTTGTGTGAAAATCAGCAGGTTTCAAAGGAATGGTGCAGTTACCTATTCACTTGTGGTTTAAAGTTGCTGATAATGAAATCTTGCTAGCTTGTGAGTGCCTGGGGGATCAGTAGTGAACATCTCAACTGTCATTCTGATATTAGTAGTTTTTACTTATTTATCATCATCATCCTTGATGACTATTACTATTGTTATTAATACTCTTTGCACTAACTTGAAACAACAGTTTTGTGGCTTTTTCCAGAAAATTAATTCTTCATCTTGTTTATTGTGTGAGCATGTACGCTTGTGTGTGTGTGTGCACGTTAACCCACATACTTATGCTCATAGGCATGCATGTGCCATGGTACATGTGTGGGTTTCAGAGGACAACATTGTGGAGTTTGTTTTGTTCTTACACATTTATATAGGTTCTAGGGATCAAACTCAGGTCATTACACTTACATGGCAATTACTTTTATCTTCTGAGCAATCTTTCTGGCCTAAGAGGGAGAGGGAGAAGAAGAGAGAGAGACAGAAAGAGACAGAGAGAGAGAGACAGAGACAGCGAGACAGACAGACAGAGACAGAGAGATTAAAGCAAAACATTTTATTTCTGTTGGAGCAAATTTGTTGATCCCTGTGGATAATGAAATTGTGTCTCATATTTTCTCATTGCACATCACAACACATTTTCATTGTGTTAATTAATTTATTTACTTTACATCTTAATTGTAGCTTCTCCTTCCTCCTCTCCCCCAGTCCTTCACTCTTCCCTTTATTCCCCTAACCCCATTTTCTCTCCTGAGTGAGAGATAAGCATCCTCCCTTGGGTCCTCCTTTCTTTGGTTCTGCGAATTGTAGCATGGTTACCTTGCACGTTATAGCTAATATACACTTATAAGTGAGTACATACCATATGTATCTTTCTGAATCTGGATAACTCACTCAGGATGATATTTTCTCGCTCCATTCATTTGCTTTCAAATTTCATAATGTCCTTGTTTTTTTTTTTATTGTTTTAGCTATTCTGTTTTTATTGTTGTTGTTTGCTTTTCCATATGAAGTTAAGAATTGTTCTTTCAAGGTCTGTAAAGAATTATATTGGTATTTTGATGAACTGCATTGAATCTGTATGTTGCTTTTGTTGGTAAAACAGCCACTTTTACTATGTTAATTCTACCAATCCATAAGCATGAAAGATCTTTCTATTTTCTTATATGTTCTTCAATTTCTTTCTTCAGATACTTGAAGTTCTTGTCATATGGGTCTTTGACTTGTTTGGTTAAAGTTACCTCCAGATCTTTTATATTACTTGTGCCTATTGTGAAGGGTGTAGTTTCCCTAATTTCTATCTTGGCCCATTTGTCATTTGTATACAAAATGGCTACTGATTTTTTTTTAGTTAATTTTGTAACCAGACACTTTGCTAAAAGTGTTTATCAGCTGTAAAAGTTCTTTGGTAGAATTTTGGGGGTCACTTATGTATACTATCATATCATCTATGAATACTGATACTTTAACTTCTTCCTTTCCAATATGTACCGTCATGATATCCTTTAGTTGCCCTATTGCTCTAGTTAGGATTTCAAGTACTCTGTAGAATAATTATGAAGACAGTGGACATCCTTGTCTTGTTCCTGATTTTAGTGAATTATTTTTTAATTTTATTTTTAATTACATTTTATTTACTTTGTATCTCCCTTCTAGTTCCCTCCCTCCTCCCCTCCCAACCCCACCCTTCCTCCTCCTTCTTCATGCATGCCTCTCCCCAAGTCCCCTGGTAGGGAAGGGTTTCTTTTTCTTCCTTCTGATCCTAGTCTGTTAGGTCTTATCAGGAGTGGCTGCATTGTTTCCCTCTGTGGCCTGATAAGGCTGCTCCCCCCTCAGGGAGAGTAATCAAAGAGGAGGACAATCAGTTCATGTCAGAAGCAGGCCCTGTTCCCAATACTATGGAACCCACTTGGATACTGAGCTGCCATGAGCTACATCTGTGCAGGGGTGCTATGTTATCTCCATGTGTGGTACTTGATTGGAGTATAAGACTCTGGAAAGATCCCTGTGTTCAATTTTTTTTGGTTCTGTTGCTCTCCTTGTGGACCTCCTGTCTCTCTAGATCTTACTATTTCCCACTTCTTTTATAAGATTCCCTGCATTCTGGCCAAAGTTTGGCCATAAGTCTCATCATCTGGTTTGATAGTCTGCAGGGCAGAGCCTTTCAGAGGCCCTCTGTGGGAGGCTCCTAACTTGTTTCCCGTTTTCTTCTTCTGATGTCCATCCTCTTTGCTTTTCGGAGTGGGGATTGAGCATTTTAGCTAGAGTCCTCCCTCTAGATTAGTTTCTTTAGGTGTACAGATTTTAGTAGGTTTATCCTATATTAAATGTCTATATGAGTGAGTATATACCGTGTGTGTCTTTCTGCTTCTGGGATAACTCAGTCAGGATGATCCTTTCCAGGTCCCACCATTTACCTGCAAATTTAATGATTTCCTTGTTTTTCATTGCTGAGTAATATTCCGTAGATATACCACAATTTCTGCATCCATTCTTCAGTTGAGGTGCATCTGGGTTGTTTCCAGCTTTTAGCTATTACAAATAAAGCTGCTACAAACGTGGTTGAGCAAATGTCCTTATTGTATACTTGAGCTTCTTTTGGATATATGCCTAGGAGTAGTATAACTGGATCTTGAGGAAGCGCTATTCCCAGTTGTCTGAGAAAGCTCCAAATTGCTTTCCAGAGTGGTTGTACAAATTTACATCCCCACCAGCAGTGGAGGAAGGTTCCCCTTTCTCCACAACCTCTCCAGCATGTGTTGTCACTTGAGTTTTTGATCTTGGCCATTCTGATGGGTGTAAGGTGATATCTCAGGGTCGTTTTGATTTGCATTTCCCTGATGGCTAATAAGGTTGAGCATTTCTTTGTTTCTCTGCCATTTGATATTCCTCTACAGAGAGTTCTGTGTTTAGCTCGGTTCCCCATTTTTTAATTGGATTAATTGATTTGCTGATTTTCAACTTCTTTAGTTCTTTATATATACTGGATATTAGCCCTCTGTCAGATAGAGGGTTGGTGAAGATCCTTTCCCAATCTGTAGGCATTCATTTTGTTTTGATGACAGTGTCCTTTGCTTTACAGAAGCTTTTCAGTTTCATGAGGTCCCATTAATTGATTGTTGCTCTTAGAGCCTGTGGTGTTGGTGTTCTGTTCAGGAAGTTTTCTCCTGTACCAATGAGTTCTAGGGTTTTCCCCACTTTTTCTTGTAAGCAGTTTAGTGTGTCTGGTTTTATGTTGAGGTCTTTGATCCACTTGGACTTTTGTTTTGTGCAGGGTGATAAGTATGGATCTGTTTGCATTTTTCTACATGTAGACATCCAATTAGACCAGCATCGTTTGTTGAAGATGCTTTTTTCCGTTGTATGGTTTTGGCATCTTTGTCAAAGATCAGGTATCCATAAGCATGTGGGTTTATTTCTGGGTTTTCTATTCGATTCCATTAATCCACCATTTTATTTCTATGCCAGTACCATGCAGTTTTTATTACTATTGCTCTGTAGTACAGCTTGAGATCAGGGATGGAGATACCTCCAGATAATTTGTTGTTGTACAAGATCCTTTTTAGCAGTTCTGGGTTTGGCTTTGAAGTTGAGAATTGTTTTTTCAAGATCTGTAAAGAATTGTGTTGCTTATTTGATGTGAATTGCATTGAATCTGTAGATTCATTATGCTTTTGGCATAATGGCCATTTTCACTATGTTAATCCTACTGATCCATGAGCATGGGAGATCTGTCCATCTTCTGCTATCTTCTTCTATTTCTTTCTCCAGAGACTTGAAGTTTTTAAACAGGTCTTTCACTTGCTTGTTTAGAGTCACCCCAAGGTACTTTATGTTATTAGTGGCTATTGTGAAGAGTGTTGTTTCCCTAATTCCTTTCTCACCTCTTTTGTCTTTGGTATACAAGAGGGCTACTGATTTTTTTGAGTTAATTTTGTATCTAGCCACTTTGCTGAAGGTGTTTATCAGCTGAAGGTTTTCTCAAGTTGAATTTTTCGGGTCACTCATGTATACTATCATATCATCTGCAAATAGTGACTTTGACTTCTTCCTTTCCAATTTGTATCCCCTGATCTACTTTAGTTGTCTTATTGCTCTAGCTTGGACTTCAAGTACTATGTTGAAGAGATAATGGAGAGAATGGGCAGCCTTGTCTTGTCCCTGATTTCAGTTGGATTGATTTACATTTCTCTCTGTTTAGTTTGATGTTGGCTATAGGCTTGCTGCATATTGTCTTTACTATGTTTAGCTAAGTACCTTTTATCCCTGATTTCTCCAAATCTTTAAACTTGAATGGGTGTTACATTTCGTCTAATGCTTTTTTGTCATCTAAGGAGATGATCATGTGGTTTTTCTCCTTCACTTTGTTTATGTGGTGGATTGTATTGCTGGATTTCTGTATATTGAACCACCCCTGCATGCCTGGCATGAAGCCTACTTCATCATGGTGAATGATATCTTTTATGTGTTCTTGGATTTGGTTTACAAGTATTTCATCGAGTATTTTTGCAGCAGTGTGCATAAGAGAGATGGGTCTGAAGTTCTCTTTTTTTGTTGGGTCATTGTATGGTTTATGTATCAAGGTATCTTGGGTGTGTCTGCTTCTTTTATTTTTTTTTTTTCCAGGACTTTTAGGTATGCCATTAAGTTGCTTATATTAGACATTTCCGTCTTTTTTCTGGAGGCACTTAATGCTATGAACTTTTTTCTTCGTACTGCTTTCATTGTTTCCCATATGTTTGGCTAAGTTGTGCTTTCATTTTCATTGAATTTTAGGAAGTCTCTAGTTTATTTTTTCATTTCTTTCCTCACCAAGCTGTCATAGAGTAGAGAGTTGTTTAGTTTCCATGTGCCCCTCTGATAGGTGCGTACTGGTTCCTACCATCTTGGATTCCCCATATTTTGTTTTTAGAGAAAGTTTTTCTTACATTGAAGTTGGACAAACTAGATATGATTACTAGCAGTGACTTCTGAATCATCCTTGTGTAGTTCAAGTTCATACCGTAGTTGTTTTCTTTATAGAAAGAATGGAATATTTGCAAAAGCAGTTAACAAGAGTCTGCCTTATTAAGTTTATTTCACAGTGGATCTCTGAGAAGCTAGCTAGCTGTAAAAAGAATTGGGGGGAGCAGAAAATAGCTTAGCAGGGAAACATGCTACCTGCCAACCGTGATGACCTGTGTGTAATTCCTGGAAGTCATGTGATATAAGCAGAGAACTGTTTCCTGCAATTGTCCTCTAATCTCCAGGTTGTCCTGTGACTCTATTACACACACACACACACACACACACACACACACACACACACACACACATAAACACACAGACACACACACACACACACGGAATTAGGAATATTTTTATGGACTACTTATGGTGTTGTCTTTATGTCGTATTATTAAGTGAAAAAAGGGAAAACAGAGACAAATGGGTATGAAATGCTACCTTTTGTGTACAGAGAGTATGAGTCATCCATTTGCTTTTATTGCTCGGAAGGGAAATGTTGATGCCAAGCTGAAAGGCAGTGAAAACTGTTAGTTCTAGGGAATGGACAAAAAGAACAGCAACACACATGGAGAAATGTCCTGCGGATATACATTGATTTTATGTAAACTTTACTTGAGAATCAAGTAGATGGTTAAACTCCAAATGTTAAATAAAATTAAGAACTCACAAAATTTATGAGGCAAGTGAATAAGCAAACTTATCAGTGAAGTTAGTGACAAACTCATGAAAAAAGAAAGTTACTTCCATGTAATGTCATTATGATTGAACTTGTATTGGGGTATAGTATTAGGGAAATAGTCTTCAGTGTCTCCTGCATGTGGTATGTTTGGAAGCAGAACTGGTGTGATTTTTAAATTGCTATGAATATTAAATGACTAGGTAATAGCATTGGGAACAAAGATTTTTCAGTGTAAGATACAATATAAAAGCATAAAATTAAACTAGTAAAATCTTGACTATTCAGTTATAATGGAAATGCTAAATTATGAACTTACCTTTTATTCTGAAAAGCTACATTTATTTTTTTTACAAGTCACTGCCATGAAAAGTCCTAGAATGCATGGTATTATTGGCAGTGAGCAGGTCCTTGCATTGTGACATCTCTGCATCTTTTTAGAATAAACTACCAGTTTTGACTCTAGAAAACAAGAAAGATATTTAAAACTACCAGGATAATAGCACAGAAAGGACATCAAGGAAGACCCTGCCGTTCTTAATATGTGCAACATTAGGATTAAAAATAATGAGTGTAGAAGGGTACAACATGTCTGTGAAAATGGAAGGATTTAAGAAGTTATTAAAATAATAGAAATGTAAAGAACTCTAGAAATAAAGCACAAATCAACTACTTAGTTGCTTATTGGCGCTGATGTGACACTGAGTGTGTTGACAGTACAAATTGACAGATATTAGAACGTCTTCCTCACTTTCCTTCACACACCATATTTTAACAGGTTACCCGGGAAAAGTTCTTTTGGAAGAAGTCTAGTTACCAAATACAAACAAAATTCTTGGATCAGAAAAGATACATATAATATTTCTTCATGAAATTTTGGTAATCATCATGGCAGTTGCTAAAATCACCAGATGAAAAGTCTTTCTTACTAGAAGTGCCAGCCTGGTGCCATCTGCCAAACTAACTTTTAACATCACCTAAATTGGGGTCACTGGGTAAGTGGGGCATATACCAGTGATGAAGCTATATGCTAAGGAGGAAACAGAGAAGTAAAATTTAAGCCTTGAGATGTAATTATTATCTTAGAGAACATTTGGGGAAATAGGAAGTGGGTTGGAAGACACTTTGGGGAAATACTGATTCAAATATAAAACTCATGAATCATTGACCTAGAGGAAAACCACGTATATGGTATAAGTCATCAAACACAACCTGTAGGACTTGATTGAAGGATAGTTTACACAAAGATATCTAGGTAAAATGACATCTTTAAGAGAATGAGAAGTTTGATACGGGGTGTCTTACTAAAAATTATAATTTTTATGTGGGTATATTACATTTAAAATAGAAATTTTGTCATTTGGAGGTGTAAACTGGTTGCATTTTTAAGACCAGCCTGAAAAAGCACTCATAATGCTGCTGAAGAAAGGAACCTGGCTACTTGAGTGTTCTCTTACATCTAACATTTATTGCTTTTGCTTTGACTTTTTTTTTTTTTTAATCTAGAAAAATATGAATGCTGCTTTTCTCTGGTGTTAGACCAGGTTATCTTATGTCTTTCTCAACATTGGCTGTGTGATACTATATAAGTTACCTCTGTAATCCGTACATCTAGTCTCTGATCAGTAAACTTCCATTTTAAAAGATTATAGAAAACAAATTACATAGGCACATTAAAATGCTTAAAACAGCGGCTGTCACATTGGAAGCATTTTTGTATGTTCTCTTATTATCCAGGAAAATGATCTTTGAGGTAGGGTGGTGTGTTGTTATTGTGGTGGGGAAGTTAGAAACAGCTCAAACAGTAGGATACTATCACTGTAAAATCAAGAACAGTCATGCGTGACCCTGGCTGCACAGCATCTGTAAAATCAAGAACACTCATGTATGGCTCTGGCTGCATGGCATCAGTGTCTCGAAGTATGTGCAGATTTGCTGTTTGCCCCATCTGGCTACCCTTTTCTGTGTTCCATGGAAGCCTTTGTCATGACTGGGTGTATACACATTGGTGGATCAGGCATATTGACTTGTTTGAGAGAAGTTCTGGGATATCTAAAAGGGAACTAAAAAGTGAGCTGTGCTGAGACAGGTTGCTTTGCTCACACTCCATGAAGTCAAGCCCATTTTGCTTTGGAATCACATCTGTAACCTTTTCTCAGTCCTACAGGTGCTCACATAATAGCCAAGTTTTCAAAGAAACTTCTTGATGAAGATATTTCAATTTTTTCTGGATCAGAAATGTTGCCTGTAGTTAAAGGAGCATTTATTTCTGTGTGTCGTCAAATATATGGTACATGTGAAGGCTTACAGGTGTTGCTTCCTTATGCTTTACACGAATCTATAGCAAGGGCATGGAAGAAGGTACGTGCTTTAAATTTTTTCTCCCTGCAGATCTTTATTTCAATTACAGGCACCGTTGTGATATCCCATTATGGACAGAATGTTTTAATAGGACTTGTATCTTTCCCTTTTCTTCTTTTCCTTTCTTTTCTCTCCATCCCCTTCTCCCTGCCCCCTCCCTCTTCCCCCTTCCTTTCTCCCTCCTTTCCTTCCTTCCTTTTTTTTTCTTTCTTTTTTGAAGCAGGGTCTCACTATATAGCTCTGGCTCATCCAGAACTTACCATATAGACTAAGCTGGCCTTGAACTTACAGAGATATGCTTGCCTCTGCTTCCTGAGTGTTGGTATTAAAGGCGTGTGCCAACACTCCTGGCTGAATATCATGTCTTTAGCACTGTGGTAGTTGGTATTACCTATCCATGATTTTTAACTTGTCACAAGATGACTTCAGAATCTTCTTCTCAGTTGAGCTAAGGTCTAAGCCTTTAGCTGGTTACCACAAAGGATTTTATTCTCTTTGCATAGAACATAGTAGAGCAGGAGCCATGCATAGACCAGTCTTTTAATTTCATTGAGCCAGATAATTTACTTTTGAAAGCAGTTGCCTTAAGGATACAAAGCAAAACTACAGCATCAGAGACCTGGTGGATAGTGCTGTCACATAGAAAAGCAGGGAAACAAACTACTCTGTTATTATTATTATTTTTAGACAAGTTTGCTGTCAGAAAGGATCCCCACTCCAGTAGAGGGCTTGGATTCGGGTTCCTCAGTGAGCCAGGAGTCCCGCAACATGTAAGTAGAGTTGTTCTGCATCTCTCCGTTGTATTTGTTAAAAGAACTTAGAAATAATTCAAGTGCAATGGAAAACTGGGGCAAGAAGTTTTTCAGGAAATTAAACTGTATACATTCAGGTTCAAGGATAATTATATTTTATAAAATTACTATTTATAGATTATGTGATACTTGTTATAAACCTAGAAATATTCGATAGTTTTTGCTTCATCCTGTATTTATAGTTTGTGCTAGGAAGCTTAGTGACTTGTAAGGTTTCAGAAAAACTGGAGAATTATCAAAAAGTAAAACTGGCATGTTAACATGCATGCATAGTGGAAGTAAAATGTTCTCAAATGGCAGTGAATTCTATCTTGCTTGTTATTCAAAATATGGCAGGAGTGCAGTTTAATTACGGTTTTGGCATTTGAAAGTTATGTAAATTAATATTTCAGCATATGTATTTGTGCTTCCTTATTAATATTAATGGATGTGAGGTCATGTTAACAGTGACATACTTTATTGAACTGAGGTTTAGTGATATACCTGGTCCAAGTCTTTATCCTAGTTTTATGACTGAGTGTTGGCACAGCGTGAAATACAAGAGGGATAGCTCTAAGAACTGTTCCTTGTTTCATGAGGTCCCATTTATTGATTGTTGCTCTTAGAGCCTGTGCTTTTGGTGTTCTTAGATGATGAATTTAGATTCTTTTTTTTTTTTATATGTTAGAGCTTAACTTACAAAATCAGTTAATTTTTAAAAATTTGAGAAAGGTTTAACATTACAAAATGGTTTATTTTCTAGAATTTTTATGTATTTTTTTCTAATATGGTTAATAATCACATCAGCTATATTTTGTTTCCCATTTCATTGAGAGAGTATGGAAAAATAGGACAGGGTTTGTTCAGTTACAGTCTGTAACCATAGACTTTCCCCAAAGGCACACCTCACTGCCATTCAACTTCACTGTATGTAAAGCAGAGCAGGATAGATGTTTGCTACAAGGAGATCTCTAGAGGTAGTAGACTGGAGAAGAGGCACTGCTTATTCAAGAGAGTCCTAAACACATTCTGCTTTCATATGGAGTATGTAATGGGTTAAAAGGTGGAGAAAGGCAGTGTTATATTTGAGTGTGTGCTCTTTAGGAAAGCAATGCCAGGGAAAAGGAGGTTTTTCTAACCCTTGATGCTATTGTCTGTGTTAGTTGGGACTTTCTGCGCAGAACCAGTAGGATAGATTCATGTGTCAGTATATGTGCAAGGAGAGATTTACTAAGGGAATTGGCTCACACTGTTATGGAGGACAGGATGTCTGAAAAATAGGTTCTGGGATATTGATAATAATGTTCAGTCCAAAGCTTAAGAGTTCCCTGTTGTGAGGCTTGGGCTATAAAGGCCAGGAAGCTTGGGATTTTTAGCTTCTAAGTGCAGAATGGTGTTCCTGGGCTCCTAAGGAAAGGTTAGTCCCTCTTCTCTGTTGTCCTTCTGTCTTGGCCCCCATCCAAGTGAATGGCACTTTCTCTACACTGAAGATAGATCATCTCTACTTTGCCTACTGAGGTTTGCACATCTATCTTCCCTGGAGACAACCTCACAGACATACCCACAAATAATGCTTTGCTAGTTTTCTAGCTATTCTTCAAATCTATACAGAGTGACATATTGATTACTATTTACCATGTCTCAAGAGGAGCAAAAGATTTAATATGATCCCATAATATTAGAAGTGTGTATATAATTTTTCTCCTAACAGTTCAGTTTGCCTTCTGGAAAGACTTGAACATCTTTTGTTCTTTTGCTTTTTTGAAATAGCCTGTATGAGATAGGCATCATTTCCCTCCTTGATTCATTTGGTAAAATTTGGAGCAGTTAACTGGTCTTGTGTCGGTGTACAGCAGGTACCTAATTTCTTAAGTGACTGAGGGAATGAATTAGTGAAGGGGACTTTCTCTAGCCCAAGTTACTGAGAATGAGAGTTAGCTTACCTAGATAACAGTAAAATAATAGCAATCTGTAGAAACAAGTTACTAATAATAATTATTTGCCTTGAAGTTAAGCATTTGGAGCACCCCCCCCCTTTGGTAATATAGTTTGTAGGATCCTGCTCCAGCTTCCCATTTAATGGCACTTATAGTACTAGAGCATGGAGAAGCCGATGTATAGCTCTGATGGGCTATTCATGTCCTATTAATCTAGGTATTGCTTTAAAACACCAGATGAAATTTCTAATCAGCTAATCAAAGTGTCCTCACACTATGTGATGTTATCATGATGTGACCTTAGAGAAGACTCAGTCACTGAGAAAAAGAAAAGATATTAAATTTGCCACAGTCAGCCATTAAAAGCCCTTCTGCAAAATGGGAGAATAAAATTACACACGGTTCCTTGATCTGCAAAGCTCGGCCCATGATACCAAGAAATTAATCACCACATACTGTATTTTTATTGGAAGTATCTTGCTACTTTTTTTAGTCAATATTCTGTTGCTGTGAAAAGATATCATGACCATGGCAACTAATAAACAAAAGCATTTCATCGGGTCTTGCTCACAGTTTCAGAGGTCTAGTCCGTCGTTAATACGGGAAGCGTGGTGGCATGGTGCTGGAGAAATAGCTGAAGGTTCTACCTCCATATCAAAGGCAGCAGGAAGGTGGACACACTGGGACTGGCTTGGGCTGTTGAAACCACAAAGTGACACACTTCCTCCAACAAGGCCCCACCTACACCAACAAAGCCACAACTCCTAATCCCTGTCAAGTAATGCACTCCCTGATGACTAAGCATTCAAATCTATGAGTCCGTGAGGAACATTTTTATTCAAAGAACCACACTACTAGATAGCATAGTTTGCTCCTTCACACCATTTGCCAGTGCCACCCCCTCCCCCCAAGGGAAAGGACAGTGAAACTCAGTAGCTCAGATCTTCTATCGCTTTCATCAAAATTTAAAGTGCAGTTAAATAGGCAGTTCCAGAGAAGATTTATTAAAGCATGGCAATGCTTATTTTCCAGAATTATATATACTCCTACATTATGTAGGGGTGTCACTCATGATTTTTTTCCTGCTTTGTGACAAATATAGAAACTTGTATATTGGTTTTGTGACTAATTTAATGACTAACATCTCATTCATACATCTCATCTCATACATTCATGGTTGAGTGACTTAGTTTAAATTTTTAAAAAATAATTTGAATGTTTTGTTAGCATTTCTTAATTGTACATGATAATGGCTTTATTATGCATTTTTCATACATGTACAAAATATATAATATTTACCCTCTCTTGTCCCTTTTCCATTCCATTCCTGCTAATCCTCTTTCTCTCCCCAGCTAACCTTCCACTCTGCTTTTCATATGTGGTAGTGACCCAGCTGGCTGCATTAGTGTTGTTCGGAGCAATAATGAGGCTTTGTTTATGGAATGTGGAGACTTAACTAGAGGTTACATCATTGAAGAGAATGTCTCTTCCTCTACTACCTCAAAAAACTGTTTATGAGGGTAAAGGAGTAGGCCTTTACATCAATGTCACTTCAGGGAATGAAAGAAAGAAAAGACCTTAAAAAAACCAAAAGTATTTTTTATTTGCATTTTCCTGAGGCCAAAGAGGAAGAGGATGCAGCCAGTCTTGATGAGTCCTAATAAGATAGGGGAGATAATAGGGGAGATAGTAGTAGTCAGATAGTAGGGGAGCTGGACCTCCTCTATCAGTGGGCTAGGGGGAGAAGAGAAAGTGAGGGTGGGGCAGGGAGGAGATGAGTGAGTAGGCTACAGCTGGAGTACAAAGTGAATAAATTGTAATTAAAAGAAAAAGAGTAGTTTGCCTAAGAGTGAGTCCAAGTTTTAACTCTCCACTTATCTTCCCTGTCTGTCATGTGTCTGTAGTTTCTGATTAATGTCTGTATTCTCTGTTGTGCCTGATCTGTCCCTGTGTCTTTTAAGAAAGGGCTTTGCTCTCTGTTTGTTGGACAACAGAAAAACACAGTATGGGCAAAGGATGAAGAATACATTTAACCTGTACCACCTAATACAGCCAAGGTAGCCTTGCTTCTCAGCTGGCCAGAGCACCCTCATGGTTGCTGTGGAATATCTTGTAGAGCCTGGGATCTAAGCATACAGAAGAGATGATGTTCAAATGCCAGGGAAGCTCCAGGGGCCATCCAGCTTGCATATCCCCTTGGAGAATGAAGCAGAGTCCAGATTTCTTATCTAAAAATTTCCTAAAGACTGAGCATGAATTAGGAGCAGGGAAAGAAATCTCCCTTGTAGTGGATTCTGATGGGAGGCCATACTCCTTAAGCGTTGGATCTGGCTTTTTCGAAGGTTTGGAGGCTGGTATGATTGTTAGCCATTTGACTGGCTTTAGAATCATCTAATAGACACACCTCTAAGCTTGTCTCTGGACTATTTCAGAGGGCAGAACCATTGTAAGGGTGGGTGGGTTGGCCACATTCACCTTACAAGAAAGCCACTCTTAGGAGAAAAGGCAGAAAGCCAGCCCAGGACCAGCACTGGTCTCTGCTTCCTGACTGAGGACAGCCGCTTCACAGCCACACTGCTGGACCTCCTACTATGATGGGCTGCATTCTTTCTTCTACCATGAGCCAAAATAAATCCTTTCTCTCTTAAAAAAAAAAAGAATACATTTTTCAGACGTATTTAACAGTTTTATGAGCAGTCACTCCACTGACTCTAACGGACCCAGAAGAGCCTTTGAAACATGCACAGATGCTGTCACCCTACATCCCTACCCACATGTTGCTTCTAACATTTATTGGATGTTTGGATTTTTTGAGACTGTTTTCTGTCTCATGGCTACTTTCAGAGAAAAGATTACTGTGTGTAGGCAAGGCCATCCCCCCTTCTGGATCAGGGTATAGCATAATACTCATTCTAAGATTAAAGCTATGCATTTAGCTTAGGTTGTAAAAGCTGAATTGTAATTGTGAAAGGTAGGTTCAACTTTCATGAACAGGCAGAACACACAACATGATAGTTGGTTGAGTACATAACTCTAGATGATCTCATACTGCTAAGTTGGATGCAAGGTTTGGACAAAATTCAGTGTCCAAAAAGACTTGAACTATTTTCCCAAGAAAAGATATTACTACAGGCCTCTCAATGCCCTCCTCTTCCATGGCAGGTAGCTGGGGTTTCAGTCTCAGGTCCTCATGATGCACAGCAAGAGTTCTTAACTAAAGAGCTAGGTTCTCACTGTGCAGCCCTTGATGATACGGAACTCACTGTGTAAGCCAGGCTGGCCACATTCTCACAGAGATCCTCCTGCCTCTGCCTCTGGCATCCAAATGCTGGGATTACAGGTGTGTACCACCATGCCAAGCTAAACTTTTACACCTGGAAATGTTTCTTTTAAACCACACCATCACCATGAGTTGTTTTCTACTCCAAACACTTGTTTATAAGTGTTGGGGCAGGGAAACACTTACTTCCCATCAGTTCTCGGAGCTGTCCATCCAGTACCTTCTGGACTGCATGGCATCTGACAGATCTTACTCTTCACAGAATGGCCGCCTGTGTTTAACCAGGTTGTGTCCTTACGTGACAGTTCCTGCTGGTATTTTAACTGTTTGCTTGATGTCTGTTATTTAATTTAACTTGATTGGTACTCTGAACAATATTTTAATTCATGCACAAATTGTGTATTTTCCTCAATTTTAGAAAATTCTCAGTATTTTGTTATGGGTGCAGGAATAGCTGCTCACTGACCTTTCAAACACCAGACTGAACTCAACAGAGGTTTACTGAATGCTAAACAGGAACTGACCTGCCAGGGCCAAATCTGGATTTGGGAGCCAGACTATGATGTTGGTCTGCTCCTAAAACAGGTGTTTTTTTTTTTTTTTTTTTTTTTTTTTTTTTTTTTAATATATATATATATATACAAAAAAACTGTAACTAGGTAACAACTAGATAACAAAACTGTAACCAGGTATAGGAAACAAACTGTAACTAGGTTACAAATATGTAACACAAAAACGCAACCAAATATCCAGGAGTAGGAGGCAATGTTACATCATTAGACAAAGCGTTTCTAACAGACCTTTAATTTGATTGGTTCTGCATTTGGGGGACTTCAGAGAGTGTCCAGGTAACAAAGTTTACAGTGTTTGAGAAGTGAAACCATAGAGACATACTTGGAGGCAAAATGGCTTCTGATGTACTAAAGGCAGGTGTTAACAGAGGAGCCATAGCTATGCTCAGAACTAAAGTAGGCCTCAACAGAAGGCCTGTAGAATTTAAGACTGTTGCAACAATTTAAAAAATTTGATTGAGCAATATAATGTATTTACAGAGTATTGTGGTTTTTTTTTCAAATTCTTTTTTTTTTTTATGGTGTCTGTGTTTTAATTAATTAATTGATTAATTTTTACTCTGGGTTATCATCCTGAAAAATGTGATTTGGGAAAGTATGTTATTTCTTTATTCCAAATAAAATATCCAATTGCAAGTGCAGCAGAATCCAAGTGCAGCAGAATTATAATGGGAAAGTGGGAAATTATGGCATGGATGAGAAAACCAAGGTTTAATCATGGTGCTGCACCTGAGATAAATACTCACCCACTCACTGATGGAAAGCTGTCAGTGTAAAAGTGAGAGAAAAAAAAAAAAAAACCCTTACAGAGCATCTCCATCTCATGTTACAGGATTCTCCGAATAATCTGTAGTTGGTGTACACTCTGTCAGTTTAATTATTGTCCATATCGATCTTAAATATTTTCTATTTTAAGTGTATTAAATGCCCCTTTCCCTTTCCTTTCCCCATTTCAGTATGGCTTGGGAAGACAATTTGTTGGATGATTTACTCAATTTTGCTGCCACCCCCAAAGGATTGCTGCTTCTTCAGAGAACAGGTGCCATCAATGAATGTGTGACGTTTATGTTCAGCCAATATGCAAAAGAGCCACAGGTATGAATTACCATCTGCTTTAAACAAAAGGAATTGTTGGCTGTTAGAAGCCATTGAGAACATCATTCTGTTCTTTGTGTGTGATGAGTTTATTAAGTTTCAGTTAAAATCCTGAGCTGTATTAGAACAGTTGATTTTTCTTTTTTTTCTTTCCCCTTTTTTCGGAAAGCTCTAGGTTGTTGATATTTGTGTCTGTGGCTGTATTTCAAAATTGCAAGCAGCCAGATGGAATTGAAAATTTCACTTAATTTTCCAGATGTTTTGTAAGCGTGATATAATACAACCATGTGCACCAAAAGGGATAGAATTTCTGGGAAAAGCCTATTCCATTTAAATGTATGTGTCAAGGAAGGTTTAGGCCTCAGGTGTTTTAAAAGATACAAACTTCCCTTTAGAGGGATTTTATTCTGTTAAGTAAAGGTTCCATGGTGATTTGCTTAATCAGGTAGTCTGAAGTAATTGACTCATAATTAGCTTTGGTTTTTTGTTTGTTTGCTTTTTCTGTGATAGTAAAGGTTCTTACCTTTCTGGAATTTTTTGGATCTTAGATATGCTTTTGAGGGTATTTTTCTATATAGGTCCTTGTTTGGCTTAGATCAAGGCTGCTGTGTGTCTTGGAGGGGGTGGTGCGTAGCTTGGGTGTGCCTTTGTGTGTATTTGTGAAGGTTGATGTCTGCTGCCTTCTTAAATTGCTCTCCCCATTTTTGTTTGTTTGCTTGTTTAATGTATCCTGTTGTTTAATTAGGTTTCTTGGTAAGAAATTTAGACTTCCAGTTTGTTACGATAAGTTCCATTTGTTAGAGCTGGAAAGGACTGCATATGTCCTTGGAGCTCAGTCATAGCTTGACCTGCAAACTGTGGAGTGGGATCAACCTTTCCCTTCCTACTAATCTTGCATTTTCACCCATTTGCTGTCAAAGATCTCTCTCCCTGGAGCCTGCACTTCCATAGTTTCTTTTTCTTGAAGTAAGCATCAGCCAGGTGTTTGGGGATTTTTTTTTTTTAAATATGAAAACTTATTTTGTTGTTAATTTGGTTTTGATTTTGATTTTTTTCTTTAATTAAAAAAATTATTACATTTTTTTCCCAGCCCTCCCTTTTTCTTCCCCTCCCTCATTCCTTCCCAATCCCACCCTCCCTCTTTCTTCTCCCATACCCCTTCCCTAGTCCACTGATAGGGGAGGTCCTCCTCCCCTTCTATCTGACCCTAGCCTAGCAGGTCTCATCAGGACTGCTGCATTGTCTTCCTCTGTGGCCTGGTAAGGCTGCTCCCCAATTAGGGGGAGGTGATCAAAGAGTCAGCCACTGCATTCATATCATATCCCATTACTAGGTAACTCACTTAGAGACTGAGCTGCCATGGGCTGCATTTGAGCAAGGGGTGCAGGTTATCTCCGTGCATGGTCCTTGGTTGGAGTATCAGTCTCAGAAAGGCCCAGATTTTTTTTTTTTTTTTTTTTTTTTTTTTTTTTTGTTGTTGTTGTTGTTCTATTGCTGTCCTTATGGAGCTCCAGTCCCCTCTAGGTCTTTGTTTCTCTGCCTTCTTTCATAAGATTCCCTGCAATCTGCTCAAAGTTTGGCTATGAGTCTCAGATCTGCTTTAATACCCTGCTGGGTAGAGTCTTTCAGAGGCCCTCTGTGGTAGGCTCTTGTCTTGTTCCTTGTTTTCACCTTCTTTTGATATCTATTCTATTTGCCTTTCTGAATGAGGATTGAACATCTTACCCAGGGTCCTCCTTTTTGCTTATCTTCTTTAGGTGTTCGGATTTCAGTATGATTCCAGGCATATATCCAAAAGATGCTCAATTACACAACAAAGACATTTGCTCAGCTATGTTCATAGCAGCTTTATTTGTAATAGCCAGAAGTTGGAAACAACCCAGATGTCCCTCAATTGAGGAATGGATACAGAAGTTGTGGTACATTTACACAATGGAATACTACTCAGCAATTAAAAACAAGGAAGTCATGAAATTTGCAGACAAATAGTGGGAATTAGAAAAGATCATCCTGAGTGAGGTGTCCCAGAAGCAGAAAGACACACATGATATATGCTCACTTATAAGTGTTTGGTGATTTTTAACATTACTGGTAGCAGTTTTAGTGGCATGGGAACAGTAGGTTTCTGGTGTGCTCTGTTTAGAGGAGCTGAGGAAAACAGGTCCACTCACAGGGAGCAAAGCCTGACTGCCCAAGCTGTTTCAGGAAAACCACTCTGTTTTCCCCACTGTGGAAGGTCAGGGCTGTGCATGGTGCATTGTGTGGCTTTTTCACATGATGATGGAAGCTTTCTTCCGCTGGTTTTGCCACTTCCCTGGTACTTTTTGGAAGTACACCTAGCCGTCTTGCAAAGCTTAACTGTGTGTGTACATCTGTTCTTGTCTCCACCAACTGATTTTGTGACAGTTGACAAGACCCTCCCCCCTCTTTAAAGTTTTTTTTTTTTTTTTTTTGTATTGTAGCTAAATACTTACTCCTGTACTTTAGTGTAGGACCCTTCTCCGCCTGTGTCCTCTAACCCACTCAGGCTTTTGGCAGCAATGGAGCTTCCTTTTTGGCTTCTTAGCCTTAGGGTTACTGTTGTGTTGTGTAGGCAATTCAACTGGCCTGCCCTTAGGGGCCTTTGGGGTCCTGACAAGGTCCTGTGTCATCACCTGGGCCAGGTGCTTGAGCTATAACCTGTAGGCCACACCTACTATGTGTGTATCTCTCTCTCTACTTTGACTTTTCCCCCAAATTCCCTTTACTATTCTACTCTCTTATCCTACACTTCACTGTCTTTTCTCCTTACCCCAAATAAATCTGTTTATATTTAGATCTGTTGAGTGTGTGGCATGTAAAAAAATGTAACAGTTACCCTTCATAGGAATGCCTTAGCCTTCTTGGCTACAGGCTTTTTCTCCTTTGTTTCTGGCTCATCAGTCTTTTCACTCACCATCTTGCAAGATGGCAAAGAGCTCCATCTTTTTGAAGTACAGTTTCTGAACTAGGAAGTTACCAATATGGGCTGGGCTAGGCTAGGCAATCTTGTCTCTTCTCCCTCAATGTTGAAATTATAGGCTTGTGCCACTGAGCCCAGCTTCTCCTGCCTCCCTTCATCCCCAAATGTGCTTTCAGGCAGATGGAACTCATGCTTATGCACTTTGTGGCTATAGCCAGGTTCCAATTCCTATCAGTTCTTTTAGAAAGTGGCTTTTGTTGTTTTTTTAAACCTCTGGCAGGTGTTGTGTTTGATGTTTTTATGTTGCTTAATAATGACAAGTGTTCCCCCTTTATTCTCTTATATTCTAATATCCTACCTTTGTTTAAAACTACAAGAAGATAAATAACCTTTTTTGTTGCCTCTGCTTGTGAAGAATACATCATTTCTGAGGTACACCTCAGCATTTTTTGCATGAGGAAAACATGTCTCTGTTTTTCATGGGTTTGTGAGGTTAGGTGTGTATATGCGCATATATTTTTATCTTGTTTCATTGAATCTGGACCCTGCATACAGAAAATATAGTTACCTCTGTTCTTCAATTTATGGCATACTTAGTTCATCCATTCCTATTCTGTCTTATTTATTTTCTTCTAGTATCATTCCAGATTGCTGGTTCTGTTTCACCCTGTACACATTTCAAACACAAACACACACACACACAAACACATACACACCACAGCTTTTTATGTTATTATAAATGCTCCACTTTATTTTGAATTCCTCTGTAGCTGAATTTAGAGCTGTCCTTGAATACTAATTAGCTGCTCAGGCTTTCTGTTTTGCTTGTTCTGTTTATCATTATGGAAACATGCAAACAGTTCATACGCGTTTTCTTTTTCATTCAGGTGTTTCAGATAAGGCAGACATATCTTCACATGATACATCTAGAATTAGATGTCATTTTTATGTTTGTAAATTTCAAAACCTAATGTTCTTTGCAGCACCCTGGCTGTCTGCCTAGAAGTGACGGTTCCTTTGACATTGGGAATTTAGGGCCCATAGTTCTTCATTAGCATATTCATCACACTTTACTGTGGCCCGCTATTCCAGATATTTTCATCATTTACATCCATAGATATTTTTCAAGAAAGCCTGGTGGCTAGGCCAATTTCTTAATTTTGTGGAAGGGAAAATGGAGGTTCAGGTTAGTTATAGAGTGTGTTTTATGGACCTGTTAGTTGCCTAGTTATAACCATCAAATTAAAACTCAGATTTCTGTTGCTCTCCTTGTGGAGTTCCTGTCCTCTCCAGATCTTACTGTTTCCCAATTCTTTTCTAAGATTCCCTGTACACTGCCTAAAGGTTGCCCATAAATCTCAGCATCTGAGCATAGGGGTCTTTCCTGAGACTCATATTCCAACCAAGGACTATGCATGGAGATAACCTAAGACCCCTGCACAGATGTAGCTCATGGCAGTTCAGTGTCCAAGTGGGTTCCATTGTGATAGGGACAGGGACTGTCTCTGACATGAACTGATTGGCCTGCTCTTTAATTACCTCCCCCTGAGGGGGAAGCAGCATTACCAGGCCACAGAAGAAGACAATGCAGCCACTCCTGATGAGACCTAATTGACTAGGATCAGAGGGAAGGAAAAGAAGTCCTCCCCTATCAGTGGATTTGGGGAGGGGCATGCATGCAGAGGGTGGAGGAAGGGAGGGATTGGGGAGGGAGGAGGGAGAGAACCACAGGGGGGATACAAAGTGAATAAACTGTAATTAATAAAGAAAAAAAAAACCTCAGATTTCTTCTTTTCTAGCTTTTGACCACGAGCATGAAGACTTACCTTGTTTAATAAAGTGTCTAACTTATGATAATTTCCTCCCTTTTTGCAATAAGTGGGAAGGTGAAGCATGTGGTGACTAATACTCCAATTTAGGGATTCATGTGGAGACTTATGGGTAGGGTGCTCTTTGGCGGGAAGATGTAGGGAAGGGAGAATAGATATCTATCTTTCTGGATGTGTGTGTCACTGACTGCAGAACAGTAGACTATAATTCAGGAAAAATGGGAACTACAACTGACAGGATTGAAAAGGAAGGCCAACTCACAAAGACATAACAATAGAAAATTGATGAAGAAGGCCTAATTTTCAGCATGATCTATTAGCTCTTTTAGCTCCATTTTTTTTTTTTTGTCCTTAAAGCTGAAGGTACACTTTATGTTTGAAGAGCTTGAAATTAAATGAGGTGCCTTTAGTGAGGTCCTTTAAAGTAGGGATTCTGAATGGCTAGCTCTGTCCAGAGGTTGGACATCTTAAAGGCCAGCAGAACTTGAAATGCCAGTTAACTTCCTTATTCTGATTCATACAAAGAGGCTCATTTTTGTTACCCAAGCAGCTTTATCTTGGAAAGTGACAAGTACTGAAGGCCTTTTATAACAGAAACTGATATATCGATGATGAGGACTGGCGCCTCCTCCTTAGGAACAAGAATTGTATTCTCTACATATACTTATTTTAAGGAAAATTATCAGGTTTTTTTTTTAAGTTTTTTTTTTTTTATTTCTTAAAAACACATTTAAGAATCTGGCAGTGAAAATTTATAAATGAAGAAGAGGCCTAGAAAGTAAAAATAGGATGATACAATTTAAATAGGATGGTACAATTTAGAACTGGAAGTTGTCCTATTTTCATCTGATCTAAGTCCCTTACTTTATTTGTGAGAAAATGTAGACCAGGATTAATAAGTGACTCTTCAAAAAGTATTTATTATTAACTACATGGTAGTCATATGTATGAATTCTAGTGTCCATAGAGGCCAGGGTGTTGGATAACCTAGAGTCCAGATATGGGTGCTGGGAACTGAACTGAATTCTGGGAAGTGAACTTGGGTCCTCTGAAGAAGCCGTGTGTATTCTTAGTTGTAGACTCATTTCTTCAGCCCCTTACTAAGTGACTTATCAAAGTCAAAGAACTAGGATTAAACTCAGATCAGACATGAAATTGCAAAAACACCACATTAGTAGTAATTCCCTGGGAGGGTTTTGTTGTTGTTTGTTTTACCTCTGTTAGCACCTGAAGGGAATTTCATAGTTTTCTAATTGTTAAAGAGCAATAAGTAGCTGTACATGTAAGTTTCGTTGTGTACAACTATTACGCTGTGTTCTTTGCTTCTCATTTTGTTCCTCATGTTAGATGAACAGGCAGAAGAAGTTTGGCTATGAAGTTTTGGTTGTGCAGGTAGCCTCCACAGCAGCAGGGGCAGTAGCTCTACAGAATTCAGGTAAGTCTTTCACACACACCCAACCCCCCATATAAAATGATACCATTGTAAAAAGCATGAAGAACTGAAACTTTTGCACGATAAAGTTCCAGAATATTTTCAACTTTAAAATTCTACTTCCCGGTTTGCAACTATGGGAAAAGAAAGTTTACAGGACTGTTTTTGCTCTCCATGAAGTTCCACTGGGGATTTTTTTTTCCCTCTATGTCGAATCTCTCATTCTCCCACTTTGCTTTTAGAACAATGATACCTAATAATCTATGCCACTCATTCAATGTCTAAAGAATTTTTTTTTCACTTTATAAACCTTAGGGATGCCATTCTGTCTTGATATAATTACCCCTGACAGAGTGGCCCAGTGTTTTGTTTAGTGGATTTGCACATGCTTTCAAAGGTATCGTCATCATAGCTGTCACATATCTGTGCCAGTTTCTTATTCCCACCTTTCCTCTTCCTTCTAGAAGCGTTTCCCTACTCAGTAGCCTTCTCATGCTCTTTGAAGTTTGCCTTCCATATGTATCCTCCGATGTTAATTGGATTTATAGGAAGGAAAACCACCACGGTTTGAACATGGCACTTGTTCAGCTTTCTGAGCACCAAACAGTACACTCGTGATAGAGAAGTGGAATTCCCGGTGGAGGCGACAAATCACCACCTAAGTACCAGTGATTACGGTTGCTTCTCCACTAAAACCAAAATATTTTGGGAAATTCTATATTTTTGCCCAACTACATTGGGTTCTTTGTATATGTTCCTTAACAAAACTATATTTTATTCTGCTCCTTAGAATAAAATCCATGTAGTATTGTAGACAAGAATATATTAATAGAACCATTTGACGATTAGCTTTAATGTCAGATTTGCTTTTGAACCTCACACTCTCAAACGTTTCTTAAAGAAACTACACAAGTCATAGCACTACGATTCATAGCACTTCCATTACAGGTATTTCTTTCCCACTTGACATGCATTGTCCCATTTGCATGCTGTGGAAACTCTGCAGTTTTCATTTTCAAATACCAAAATTCCTTGGTCTCTGGAGAAGACGAGGCATCCTCTCCACTCTGATATCTCAGTTTCAGTTCCTTGTTTGTTTGTTTGTTTGTTTGTTTTTTAGGTTGTTTCCCAGAACACTTAATTCTCCTATTTTGTTACAAACACATTGGTTTTTCCTAAATTTGTTTTATTTTTTGACATTGTAATAAAATTTTACATTATTCCTACCGTTCTCTTTCTTTCTCCAAGCCCGCCCCAAAACCTCCTCCCCTCTTTAAAAGTCATGGCTTCTTTTTCATTATTGTTGCATGTCCATATCCATACTATCTCTGCAAACACAAATGCTGCCTGCTCAGTCTTTGTAATGTCACTTGAATGTTTTTAGAGCTGACCATTTGGCACTGGATAACAAGCTGGTATGCTCTTCTCTGGGGAAGACTATTTTTCCTGCTCTCACCATTTTTTAGTTGCCTGTAATTCACTGTGGAGGGTTGAGGCCCCATAAGCGTTTCCTGTCCATGTTGACAAGTTATTGTTGTTATCCCTGTTCTCCTCACATTTAGGTAGTGTGTTGATGAGATTTTACAGGCGTAACTTCTGACATTACCAGGAGACACAACCTCACAGCAAACTCTCTGACCTCAGGCTCTTCCAGTCTTTACCCCCTGTCATCTGCTACGTTCCCTCAACCTCATGTGTAGGATTTGTGTAGTCCTCATATCCACTGGGATGGGTCTCTACCACTCTGCATTTTGATTGGCTGTGACTTTCTGTAACAGTCTCCATCTGTTGGAAAGAGAAGTCTCCTTGATGAAGGTTGAGGGTGTGGGTATAAGGACACATGTTTAGACTGTAGTTAGGGATGAAGGCATACTGATTTTATGATTAGATGCTAGGTTTTTATGTGTAGTGGAGGATTTGGAAAACTTAATAATCAGCTTTAATATTCATTTTCATTCAGTTGGATAGTATTTGATTCAAGAGAATTTAAAGGCTGCATTGAAGCCATGTTCAGAATTGCTTTAAACATATGGAATTATAAGTGAATATTAGGTTAGGTGAACCTATTCTTTGGATGTCTGCCCTAGTTCTGATGCCTCCTCTCTCTTTCTCCATCTCCTGAGCGCATTCTTTACAGACTCCAGGGAGATGCTTTCTCATGATTTATTTAATATTACAGGGAGGTCAGATATCCTAAACATTTAATAAAGATAGCAATTACCATTTCTTTCAAGGGTAGAGACTGCACTGTTATTTCTGTAAAAATCAAGTATTTTCCTCCATGAGTAAATTTTTCATAGTAATAACCCTATCTTTTTTCCTTAAACCAGATTATACTGTTTTATACTATAGTGTAAATTATGCTGTAAATATGACATAAGTAATAATTCTTTCTAGGCTTCATTAGTGCACTTATAACTGAGCTATGGTACAATCTTGAATGTGGAAGAGATGATGTCAGGGTAACTCATCCTAGAGCGACTCCAGTGGATCCTATCGACCGAAGCTGTCAAAGGGTAAGAGGTTGTATGATAATAATGTAGAGAGTTGAAGTGTATTGCACAGAAGTGACTCCATGAAAACCTGACCTGTGTCACTTATAAGCAGCAAACTTTCTTAAGTGGACCATAGCCCATTTAATACCTAAATATATTTTTCATTAAAAAGTAAAGTTAGTGAACTGTAAACCATTGTACTTTGGAAAATACTTTGGAAGGATACTTTTCTTTCATGATATTTTTATTATATTTTTTCTTTCTTAATAAAAGGTAATAACACACCAAGTATGTTATGAAAAGCAATGTGTCCCTAGAACAAACACAAAAGCATACCACAGAAGTACAGGAAAGTTTTTCTCTTGGGTTTGAATCCGGTGAAGTTGTCTGGATAGAACCAAGGTAGAACAGGTCGAGGGAAAATGCTGTTGGCAAGAGGAATCCAGCAGTTTTTTAAGTACTTACACAATGTTCTGTTCAAATTCAGTGGTTTTCCTATATGTAACATAGTCTCGTAATTTCCTTCCTTCCTTCCTTCCTTCCTTCCTTCCTTCCTTCCTTCCTTCCTTCCTTCCTTCCCTCCTTCCTTCCTTCTTTCCTTTCCTTTCCTTTCTTTCATTTCTTCTTTTCTTCCTTTCTTTCTTCCGAGACAGGGTTTCTCTGTGTAGCCTTGGCTCTCCTAGAGTCAGTCTATAGACCAGGCTGGCCTTGAACTCATAGAGATCTGGGTATCTCTGCTTCCTTGAGTCCTAATTTCTTTCAGTTAAAGTAAATGATTTACTGCAGTGGAAGCTTGAACAATTTTTAGTATGAAGGTGCTGTTAAATTATTTAAAATGCTTCCCTCCTCACACCATTTCAGAAATTTCTTTTTTCTGGGGTGTTAAAGTTCACTTTTCTAGAAAACATGAACACTAGAAAATAATTTAAAAATGAAGTGGTTGAAAATGTTTTATTGATAAAAACAGGCAGTAAGTGGAAGACAGTGACTTTAGGATGCTCCTTTTTCACAGTCTATTTAACAGTAGTGTTGTTTGTTTGTGACAGTTGCTTTATGTAACCCTGGTTGGCCTTGAGCTCTCTATGTAGACCAGGCTGGCCTTGAACTCTCCCAAGTGCTTCTGCCACCATGCCTGGAAAAGTACCTTAGGAAAAGTACCCGTTGCTGTTCTAAGGATAGAATCTCAGAGCCTAGAAAGCTAGTAGAAGAGTATTCCAAGTTTAAGGTTATTTGGCAGCTAGAAATGAAGCTGGGAGACTGGAGAGGACAAAGCTACAAAGCGGGTATTACAAAGGCATGTGGTAGCCCCAGACTACGAGCTACACCTGAAAACTGTAGTCATTCTGCTGCTCACACACAAAAAACATCATCTTCTATTTACTAGTGCTGAATATGTTGAGAATGCAATATCAAAAATGCATTCTTTTGAGTCTGGGGGGATATATCAGTTGGTAAAGCACAAGGACCTGAGTTGTGTCCCAGGAACCTACATTAAAAACTAAACAAAGTGGTGGGGATTGGTATATCCCCCAAAAACCCATCGACCCTAAACAGCTGGGAGAAGTAAAGGGGTCTGCACCCTCTCTCCCCACTAACCTTCTCTCTCCAACCTGGGGTTGGGTTGGGGGGTTGTGGAAACAATAGAGGCATAAATACTCCAAATAAAATATAGTCTTTAAAACAAAACAAAACAAAACAAACAAACAAACAAACTAAACAAAGAACAGGGCTAGTGAGATGGGTTAGTGGGTTAATATATTTGTTACCATTTACCTGAATTTGACCCCCAGAACACATATGGTAATGGAGAGTTGTTCCCTGAGCTTACATGCACACATGCTGTGGTATCTCTCTCACCCTAAATCCAAATAAATAAATATATGAAAAAATAAATAAAATTTAAAAAGTTAAAGTAATACCCCTCCCCCCAAATACAACAAAAACAACAAATCTCCAAACCAGGCATGGTGATGCATGATTGTAATTCCAGCACTGCGAGGTAGAAACAGGGGGATTACTGTGACTTAACAACCAGCCAGCTCAGCTGACGTGGAATCACATGAAATTTAGAAGGTGGACATTAAACAAGCAAATATTAAAGAGAAAACCTACAGAATGGGAGAAAACCTTTGCCTGCTTTGTGCCTAGCAGAGGTTAATATCTAGAATACACACAGAACTCTAGAATTTAAAACTCTCAAAGCCACATCATCCAGTTAGTAACAGGTTAATGAACTGAACAGATAGCTGTTAAAAGAAGTAAAAATAGGCTGATATATATATGAAAAATGTTCAACATCTTTAGCATTAGGAAAATGCAAATCAAACCACACTGAGAATCCATCTCACTTCAGTTATAATGAGTACAAAGAAATCAAACAAGAAGCGCTGTCAAGGATGTGGGGAGGAGGAACCTTTATGCATTGTGGGGGCTATAAATTATTGTAGATGTTGTATATGTCGATTACTACGGAGGTTTCTAAGACTGCTAGAATGAGAGCTACTGTATGATGCAGTTATTATCTACTGCTACCTGCACTTCCATGTTTACCACAGCATTGTTCACAGCAGCCAACTTAGGAATTGGCACAAGTGTCTGTCAGCCAATGCATACAACAAATGTATACATTACAATGGCGTTTCCTTCCTCCGTAAAGAAAAAGGAAATTAGTTATTTGCAGAGAAATGGCTGGAACTGGACCTCAACATGTCAACCAAATCAGCGAGGTTCAGAACAAAAAGCACATCTGCTCTCACATTCAGAACCTAGATTTAAATATATATGTGATTTAAGCAGACATTACACACACATCCATCCATACAAACATAGACACACATGTATGATACGTATATGTCAGAAGAGTGGTGACTGGTAGAAGAGAGGGTGCTGGCAGGAGTTGGAGTAATGACAAGAGAAAGTAATAGGGGAATAACAATGTCTGAAAGTTTCATAATGAAAAAATCTTATTTTTATTTACTCATTTTGTTATCTGACCATTTCATATATGTGTATAATATAGTCTGATTGTACTTTGACAGTACAAACTGCATTGTTTTATATGCTAACTAGTAATAATGTTCTTTATGTTAGTATAACACATTCTAGAATCCATATAATGTATGCTCACAAAGTAGGGAAAGCACCCCAGAATTTTTTGACATCAGAAGAATATAAAAATTGTGACCTCTATTCAATAAGAAAGGCATCCAATTAAATGTATTGTAAAGTGAAGGTAGATTATTTTACAAGGACAAAGCATAAGTGAGAATTGTAGTAAATGCACAAATTAGATCTCTGTAGAAACACAGGAACTATATAAAGGTACATGTAGAAATTCTAGCATTAAAAAATAATCAGAAATAGAAATTCTTAGATGCACTTATCAGAAGATTTAGCATAACAACACAAATAATAAACTGGAGACAGGTCTGCAGGGGTCAGAATTTGAAGAACATCGAAGGGGAAAACCTGCAGTTGATCTTGAGAGTTTGTTATATTGATAGTCTTAGCTTCCACAATGAGAATACTAGAAACAGAAGTACCAGAAGAACAATATTTGCCTAAACTTACCAACTTTATTGAAATAAATAAATTTATAGATTAGAAACTTAGTGAAACTCAAGGAAGATTATACAATAAATGAAAATATGAAAGAAACCACACTGTGGCTTGTGACAAACTGCTTAAAACAAAGATATTGCCACATTTTGAAAGAAGCTGTACAAAATCAATGTTATATATAGCAAACAGTAGAACACCTTGCTAGCAGCACATTAGAGGCAGTGGAGGTCAGAAGACAATGCAAAGATTTATTGTGTTTAGAGGAAAAGAAAAAAAAAAAAAGTCAACCCACAGCTCGGCACCCAGCAGAATAGTCTTCAGCAATGAAGGCGAAGAAACTTTTGGGTAATGGCAGAGAAAACTCAGAAAGCACGATTGTCCTTCACATATGCTAGGAAGGAAGTTCTCCATGTGGAAGTTTGGGTTTTTCAGAGAGGAAGAGGAAGTTGCTGAAAGATGAGCCTACAGAGGTAAAGTATATGCCGTTACCTCAACATGAAAGGTGGGCATGTTATTATATGTCTTCCTACAGTTACAGGGTCCTTCATGTATGACATAAATCAGCACAATGTTGTAAGTTGTAAATCTGTATGGAATGTTTCTAAGCAAGGTTCAAGTTGTTGGAATTTTATTCTAGTTATTTGACTTTGAATTGGGAATATCAGTGTAAATTTTCTTCAGAAACATCATATATTTTCCTAGTTTATATATTGAAATATCAACAAATGACGTCATAGTATTAAAGAGGTTTATCACCCAGCTTGAGATCTCAGTTATTCCACAGAGGTTCTTTGAACTTTGGATCTATTTTTCTATTTTAAATTACAGTCAGTATATATTTATAGTTTCAATATATAGTGAAGTATGTTAAAAACATGTATTTGAATTCTAATCCCTTTCATGTATCTCCCCCCCCCCTCCTTCTCTGCTGTTCCATTCAATGTGGTAGGCAGTGGTCCTAAAGCTGCAATTTAGTATATGTGCTGCGGAAGTAAGCTCCTGATGCTGCAATTTAAATATACACTAAATTAAAAAAAAATTTTCTTCTTCCCAAGGCTCAGTGACTATTGCAGAAGAGGGGACACAGAGATCCTAAGAACCCAGAGGTTAGATAGGACCTGAGAGAAAGTGTCTTCGAGATGTGGCAGTGTCAATAAACCCATGCACTCACAGTAGCTGTGGTTGTCTGCACAGTATTGAGCCAGTGAACATTCAAGTATGGAGAAGGGAGAGTTTCATAAGTCCCAACCCCATGAGGAGCTATTGACAGTTGGTGGCTTCTGGGGGAGGGAGTGTCAGTCTCCTTAAGTATGGCCTCTGGTAGGTTGATCATGCTCCAATGGATGGCTCCACACCCATGAATATATAGCCAGCACAGAATGGACTCAATAAATTAAAAAAAAAAAAAGACATGAATATGGGAGGAGGGGGAGTTTGGTGAGGTAGACCTGGGAGGAGTT